CCGACAAGATGTTGCAGGGTCGTCTCTTCTCTTACTCCGACACTCACCGTCATCGTTTGGGTGCCAATTACTTGCAAATACCCGTCAACTGTCCTTACCGTGTGGCTGTTAAGAACTATCAACGTGATGGCCCCATGACAGTGACCGACAATCAAGGCAATGCCCCCAACTATTACCCCAACTCCTTCTCTGGTCCCTTGGAAAGCGAACGCGCCAGAAGCCTACAATCTAAATGCCCCGTTGCCGGTGATGTCTATCGCTACAGCAGCGGTGATACCGAGGACAATTTCGGCCAAGTTACCGAGTTTTGGGTACGTGTTTTGGATGATGCTGCTCGCAAACGTTTGGTTAGCAACATTGCTGGTAACTTGTCGAACGCCAGCACCTTCATACAAGAACGTGCTGTCAAGAACTTTAGCATGGTTCATCCCGATTTTGGTCGCATGTTAACCGAACAATTGAACTTGGCTAAGTCTGCCAAGATTTAAATTATGCTTTTTGTTCGTGCAATGTTTTATATAATGATCGTTTTTTCTTCTTCTGGTTGTGGGTCTGAAAACTGTTTTACCCTTTTGTATGAGAAAAAAAGAAAGAAATATTTTTATTATTATGTTTGTTTTTTATTACTTTTTAGAATTATTATGCTAACAAACGTAAGCTTTGTTTAAGCGCAAAATCAACATTTCCATATTTAATCAAAAATGTTATCTAAAACTACTTTTTTTACTTAACACTTTTTCAAAATAAACACATATTTTTCGATAAAACTAATAAAATAAAATGAGCAAGTGTTTGTTTTTATTGAAGTTTTTGGTCACTTGGGAAGGTAAAATGAAGGATATAGTGTTCAATTTCTACAAGGATTGTAGCTCTATCTTATCTCAGTAGACTCCAATCTTTGAAATCCCAGCAAAACTACAAAAAAGAAAAGTTTTCTTTAGTCATCTAACAACTGAGGTTTTCTACTTTGCCGCCTCTTAACGCCGTCCCTGGTAATTTCTAAGCTCTAATATTTAAACCACAAATTCAGCGGTATCTCTTATCTAATTGTGCCAAATTTTATTAAAATCCTTTAAATATTTTAGAAATTACAATCAAAATTATTTTTATCATGCTTTATTAATTTTACTAACGTTGAAGCAATCCCAACTCAGTGTTGTTTATAAAACGCCTGCCTTAAGGTATGCAATAGCTAAAGTACACGTGTTCTAATGCAGGCAATACATTTAATAAATAATGCAAAAACTAACAGCTAACAATAGGAATGAAAATAATGACATTTAATAATTATCTATTATTGTTATTAATATTTTTCATGCTATTTTTTCTGCTTGCTGTTAAAAAATAGGAATTTTCCATTTTTCTTTTGCTAATTTAAAATATTTTTATTATCTACATACATTGCAACTAACTATGTAGTTGTCGTGTGGTAATTGCAAAAGAATTAAATAAATATTAAAATAAAACTATTAACACGATATTTGACGACAACAGCAGGGAATTTAGATAATATAAAAAGTAAATCAATAATTTTTAAAATGATGAAAAGATTTTAATACTAATTTACATGAATAGAGAGAGGGCATAGATAGCTAAGTCAAAGTTTTATTAAGAAGTCCTACTTTTAAAGCAATAATAGCTCTATTAATAGTCCTTCTATTAAAGCAATAGTGGCTCTATGAATAGTCCTGTTAGTAATTCTTCTTTTAGAGCAATCGTGACTTTATTAATAGTCCTCTTAGTAGCTCATCATTTAAAGCAATCGTGGCTCTATATAAAAACCAATTGGTAGTCCTTTTAGTAGTCTTTCCTTTAAAGCATTCGTAGCTTTTTTAGTAGTCCTTAATTTAAAGCATTAGTGGCTCTATTAATGGTCCTTCCTTTAAAGCATTCGTATCTGTATTAATAATCCTTTCCATAGTCCTTTTATTTAAGCAATCATGGCTCTATTAACAATCCTTTTTGCAATCCTTCTTTTAAAGCAATCGTGGCTGTACTAATAGTCCTTTTAGTGGTTCTTCTTATAAAGTAATCGTAGCTCTTTTAACACTCCTTTTAGTAGACCTTCTTTTAAAGCAATCGTAGCTATATTAATAGCCTTCCTAGTAGCCCATCTTTTAAAGCAAATAGGGTCCTTTATAAAAACCTATTAGTAGTCCTTCTTTTAAAGCAACCGTGGCTCTATTAATTGTCCTTTTGGTAGTCTTTCCTTTAAAGCATTCGTAGCTCTATTAATAGTCCTATAAGTAGTCCGACTTTTAAAGCAATTGTTGTTCTAATAGTTCTTCTTTTTAAGTAATCGTGGCTCTATTATTAGTCTTTTTATTAAAGCAATAGTGGCTCTACTAATAGTCCTTTTAGTAGTTTTTCTTTTAGAGCCATCGTGGTCCTTCTTGTAGTCCTTCTTTTAAAGCAATCGTGGCTTTATTAATAGTCCTTTTAGTAGCCCTTCATTTAAAGCAATCGTGGCTCTATATAAAAACCTATTTGTAGTCCCTTTAGTAGTCTTTCCTTTAAAGCATTTGTAGCTCTATTAATAGCAATCGTAGCTCTATTAGTAGTCCTTCCTTTAAAGCATTCGTATCTGTATTAATAATCCTTTCCATAGTCCTTCTATTTAAACAATCATGGCTCTATTAACAATTCTTTTAGTAATCCTTCTTTTAAAGCAATCATGGCTGTACTTATAGTCCTTTGAGTGGCTATTCTTATATAGCAATCGTAGTTCTTTTAATATTCTTTTTAGTAGACCTTCTCTTAAAGCAATAGTAGCTATATTAATACTCTTCCTAGTAGCCCATCTTTTAAAGCAATCATGGTCCATTATAAAAACCTATTAGTAGTCCTACTTTTAAAGCAACCGTGGCTCTATTAATAGTCCTTTTAGTAGTCTTTCCTTTAAAGCAATCGGAGCTCTATTAATAGTAATCGTAGCTCTATTAGTAGTCCTTCCTTTAAAGCATTCGGGGCTCTATTAATAGTCCTTTAAGTAGTCCTTCTTTTAAAGCAATTATTGTTCTAGTAATTGTCCTTTTAGAAGTTCTTTTAAAGCAATCTTAGTTCTATAAATAGTCCTTTTAGTAGTAATTCTTTTAAAACAATCATGTCTCTATTAACAGTCCTTCCTTAATGTAATCATGGCAGTGGTAATAGTCCTTTTAATGATTCTTCTTATAAAGCAATAGGGAATCTATATAAAAACCTATTAGTAGTCCTTCTTTTAAAGCAACCGTGACTCTATTAATTGTCCTTTTGGTAGTCTTTCCTTTAAAGCATTCGTGGTTCTATTAATAGCAATCGTAACTCTATTAGTAGTCCTTCCTTTAAAGTATTCGTGGCTCTATTAATAGTCCTTTAAGTAGTCCTTCTTTTAAAGCAAGTGTTGCTTTATTAATTGTCCTTTTAGAAGTTCTTTTACAGCAATCTTAGTTCTATAAATAGTCCTTTTAGTAGTAATTCTTTTAAAGCACTCATGGCTCTATTAACAGTCCTTCTTTAATGTAATCGTGGCTGTGGTAATAGTCCTTTTAGTGATTCTTCTTATAAAGCAATAGGGGCTCTATATAAAAATCTATTAGTAGTCCTTCTTTTAAAGCAACCGCGGCTCTATTAATTGTCCTTTTAGTAGTCTTTCCTTTAAAGCATTCATGGTTCTATTAATAGCAATCGTAGCTCTATTAGTAGTTGTTCCTTTAAAGTATTCGTGGCTCTTTTAATAGTCCTTGAAGTAGTCCTTCTTTTAAAGCAATTGTTGTTCTATTAATTGTCCTTTTAGAAGTTCTTTTAAGGCAATAGTAGCTCGTAGATGTATTAATAATCCTTCCAATAGTCCTTCTATTTAGGCAATCGTGGCTCTATTAACAGAAGGACTGTTAATGTAATCGTGGCTGTGGTAATAGTCCTTTTAGTGATTCTTCTTATAAAGCAATAGGGACTCTATATAAAAACCTATTAGTAGTCCTTCTTTTAAATCAACCGTGGCTCTATTAATATTGCTTTTAGTAGTCTTTCCTTTAAAACATTCGTGGCTCCATAACTCTATTAGTAGTCCTTCCTTAAAAGCATTCGTGGCTCTATTAATAGTCCTTTAAGTAGTCCTTCTTTTAAAGCAAGTGTTGCTCTATTAATTGTCCTTTTAGAAGTTCTTTTTTTAAAGCAATCGTGGCTCTATTAATAGTCCTTTTAGTGATTCTTCTTATAAAGCAATAGGGACTCTATATAAAAACCTATTAGTAGTCCTTCTTTTAAAGCAACCGCGGCTCTATTAATAGTCCTTTTAATAGTCTTTCCTTTAAAGCATTCGTAGTTCTATTAATAGCAATCGTAACTCTATTAGTAGTCCTTCCTTAAAAGCATTCGTGGCTCTATTAATAGTCCTTTAAGTAGTCTTTCTTTTAAAGCAACTGTTGCTCTATTAATTGTCCTTTTAGAAGTTCTTCTGTAAAGCAATCGTGGCTCTATTAATAGTCCTTTTAGTAGTCCTTCTATTAAAGCTATCGTAGATGTATTAATCATCCTTTCAATAGTCCTTCTATTTAGGCAATCAAAGCTCTATTAACAGTCCTTTTAGTGATTCTTCTTATAAAGCAATCGTGTCTCTATATAAAACCTATTAATAGTCCTTCTTTTAAAGCAACCGTGGCTCTATTATTAGTACTTTTAGTAGTTTTTTCTTTAAAGCATTCGTGGCTTTATTAATAGGAATCGTAACTCTATTAGTAGTCCTTCCTTTAAAGTATTCGTGGTTCTATTAATAGTCCTTTAGGTAGTCCTTCTTTAAAAGCAAGTGTTGCTCTATTAGTTGTCCTTTTAGAGGTTCTTCTTTTAAAGCTATCTTAGCTCTATTAATACTCTTTTTAGCAGTCTTACTTTTAAAGCAAAGTGGTTCTATTCATATTCATTTTATTAGTCCTGCTTTTAAAGTAATCCTGCCTTTATTAATAGTCCTGTTTTAGTAGTTTCCAAAATTTAAAACCTCTTTAATTTTTTTTTTTTTTTTAATTTTTTTATTATTTTTTAAAATTTTTTTAAAATTTGTATTTTTACATATTAAAGTACATAAATGTTTTTTTTTTGTAAAAATATATAGTTTTTTCTTCTATTATTTTGTATTTGTAGGTATAATTTTAAAATTACATATTCTTTTCTGAGTTATTTTTATGGATTCATATACATTTGCTATTTATTAAGAAAATTTTAGTTTGTTTAGCTGTTTGCGTAAGTGTGTGTGTGTGTGTCTTTGTATATATATAATTGTATCAAAATAAAATGAAACTATTAGAACAGAAATGCATCAAGTTATAAATATTCATTAATTAATATTTATAGTTATTTAAAAAAAAAAGTACAAAGTACTATAAACGGTATCATGATTATATAGTTTTCTTTAAATACGGTACTTTTTTGTCAACTAGAGTATATAAAACTATAACAATATATGTTTTTTTGCTAATAAAAGATATGTTAAAACATATATTTTAAATTTAATTTTATTATACTTAAATATTAAAAAAAAAAAATATTAAGTTTTTCTTTTACTTAAAAACTACACATACAGTTAACAAACATTTAAATTTTTTTTAAATTGGCTTTTTTAACTTAAATAAAGTTTTCTTTGAAAAAAATGAAATTTTGTTTAAAAAAAATTTTAATTTTTCTAAATTAAAAATGTGTTTTAGTTTTAAAAATAAAAACAAAACAAAATTGCCTACAAAAAGATGAAACCACTTTTTATGTTTTATAAGTGGTTAGAGCTTAAGTTGTTGTTTAAAAAGAACATTGCCTTAGGGGGGCATGTTTACGCCCCTTTATGCTAGAACAAGCACTCTAGTATGAATGTTAGAAATTAAAAAAAAAAATCGTTTTAAAACTTAAAAACTAATTTAGGATGTAGTGGTTGGTGTGTTGGTTGATGTTTAGAGGGATGTGGTTGTTGTTGTTGTTGTGGATGCAACATTTAATGCGTAGCATTTAGTGCTATGGTACGTGCCCAATCGGGGAATGTGGTAAGATTGGGATACACTACCAAACCCCATGTTTGACAGAATACAAACAAGACAATGATACTGATAACGGTGGGACCAATACCAGCGATGGCCTGAAAATAAAAGACAGAATTAGGGAAGGAATTAGTTGAGTTCTGGGTATTTAGAAATTTTGGTCAATAAGGCACTAATAGGTCTGTTAATGGTCCTTTTAGTAGTATTTCTTTGAAAGCAATTGTGGCTCTATTAATAGTCCTTTTAGTAGTCCTACTTTTAAAGCAATCATTGCTTCATTAAAAGTCCTTTTAGTAGGCTTTCTTTTGAAGCAATCATGGCTCTATTCAAAGGCCTTTTAGTAGTCCTTCTTTTAAAGCAATCATGGCTCTATTAATAGCAATCATTGCTCCATTAAAAGTCCTTTTAGTAGGCTTTCTTTTGACGCAATCATGGCTCTATTCAAAGGCCTTTTAGTAGTCCTTCTTTTAAAGCAATTATTGCTCTATTAATAGTGCTTTTAGTAGTCTTCCTTTGGAAGCTATCGTTCCTCTATTAATAGTCCTTTTAGTAGTCCAACTTGTAAAGCATTTGTGGCTCTATTAATAGTGCTTTTAGTAGTCCAACTTTTAAAGCATTTATAGCTATATTCAAAGACCTATTACTAGTCCTACTTTTAAAGCAATCGTGGCTCTATTAGTAGTCCAACTTGTAAAGCATTCGTGGCTCTATTAATAAGCCCTTCTCTTAAAGCAATCGTGGCCCTTCCTTTGAAGTATTCATGGCTCTCTTAATAGTCCTTTTATTACTCCTACTTTTAAAGCACTTGTGGCTCTATTAAGAGTCCTTTCAGTAGTCCTACTTTTAAAGCAAACGTGGCTCTATTAATAGTCCTTTTAGAATGTTAATGGTCCTTTTAGTAGTATTTCTTTGAAAGCAATCGTGGCTCTATTAATAGTCCTTTTAGTAGTCCTACTTTTAAAGCAACCATTGCTCCTTTAAAAGTCCTTTTAGTAGGCTTTCTTTTGAAGCAATCATGGTACTATTCAAAGGTCTTTTAGTAGTCCTTCTTTTAAAGCAATCATGGCTCTATTATTAGTGCTTTTAGTAGTCTTTCTTTGGAAGCTCTATTAATAGTCCTTTTAGTAGTCCAACTTGTAAAGCATTTGTAGCTCTATTAATAGTCCTTTCAGTAGTCCAACTTTTAAAGCATTTATATCTATATTCGAAGACCTATTAGTAGTCCTACTTTTAAAGCAATCGTAGCTCTATTAGTAGTACTTTTAATAGTCCAACTTGTAAAGCATTCGTGGCTCTATTAATAAGCCCTTCCTTTAAAGTATTCATGGCTCTCTTAATAGTCCTTTTATTACTCCTACTTTTAAAGCACTTGTGGCTCTATTAAGAGTCCTTTCAGTAGTCCTACTTTTAAAGCAAACGTGGCTCTATTAATAGTCCTTTTAGTTGTCCTACTTGTAAAACATTTTTGGCTCTATTCAAAGACTTTTTAATAGTACTTCTAAAGCACCCATGACTCTATTTATAATCCTTTTAGCAGTCCTTCTTTTAAAGCAATAGTGGCTCTATTCAGAGACCTTGGAGTAGTCTTTCTTTTAAAGCAATCGTGGCTCTATTCAAAGACCTTTTAGTAGTCCTTCTTTGAAAACACTCATTGCTCCATTAATAGTCCCTTTAATAGTCCTTTTAAAACAATATTCAGTGTTTTAAAACTTACCATATCCTTTGTACGAATATTAGCATAACCAGCTACTAAAGCATTGGGTGGTGTACTGACTGGCAAATGGAAGGCCATACTGCAAGCCAAACCGGCAGGCAAGATTAAGTACAAAGGATGAATTTCAATGGCAATTGACTAAAAGTAAAAATAAACAAATTATTAAATAATCATAATGAAACTAAATTCAAATTCCTCTTCCTTACCATTTCAGCCAAAACAGGAACCATAATATTAGCAATAGCAACATTCGAACTGAACGCCGTTAAAACAACAGCCACAATAATGATGACAAACAATAGAACAGCATGAGGCAAAGCCTTCAAACCAATCAAGGCATTACCAATCAAAGTAGCCATACCACTGACTTTACTGCCCTCAGCCAAAGCAAAACCACCGCCCAACAAGAATACCAAACCCCATGGTACTTTAGATTGAATAAATTTCCACGTAATCAAAGAAGGAGTTGGGGCAGTGGGCAATTCCAAGTTACGACGATTGCAGCAATAACGCATAAAAGCATAATTGGCGGGCAACATGAAACACATAATGACCACAAAAATGGTGGGCATAGAGTTACGAATATCTTTGGCATCCAACCAATCAGCCCAACCGGGGAAAATGCCTGGTTTACGGGTGAAATACATAATAACCATGATGATAAACAAAATCATAACTTGAATTTCATGAGCACTCATAGGACCCAATTCCTTATAACGTTGATCGATAACCTTACGGGCAACATCGGCTCCCTGATTACCCAATTTAACCTCCTCAGCTTCTTTGCTCTTGGGACGGAATAAGCCCATATAGTGGTACTGCAGCCACAAGAACATTAAACCAGTATAAATCAACATAGAGGGCACGGAATAGAACATAAAAGTGGGGAAATCCAAAGTTTCGGTAGAGGTGGGGAAACGACTTTCATAGATACCCTTGAAGGTTAAGTTGGTGGCAGTGCCAATAACAGTACCGCAACCACCCATGGAGGAGGCATAGGCAACACCCAAGAAATAGCATAAGGTAACTTTGGAAGGATATGGTGGTCTGTGTCAAAGAAAAATAAGGAAAATTAATAATATTTCTTTTTTACTACATCCTACACAACTTACTCTTCTTCACCATTCTTCTTATTGTTGCCCACAATTTGATATTGTGGTTCACGATTCATTTTGCAAAGACCTTGCTGTTGTAATTCCTCCAAAACGGCCTGAATAATGGGACACATCATAGCGGTACAGGCAGCATTCGAAATCCACATGGACAAGAACATGGTAACGAAAATTAAACCAAAGTGTAATCTGAAAAAAGTTGTATTAAATAAGGCTGCTTAATACAGGGTTATCCTAAAGTAAGTTTTAGTTAAACTAGGTTTTATTTACATCTGCCTCTCTGTTATCACAAGAGCGTAAATACTTTTTATGTGTTTTTGATTGAGATTGTTGAAATTAGTCTCAAAATTTATTTTTAATTTCTTTTCCTTCAGTAGGTCATTTGCTTTATTTTTGTTTTATTAATCTTCATTCATTGTGGTTTTATTATTGATAAGGTTATTCCAAATTGTGTGCCAATGGTGCAAAGTTTTAAAAATTCACTGCGGTTGTATGTGAAGAGGCATATTTGTGATGTAATACACTTACTTTACAGATGGCAACAGATGAAAATAGATCAATATGTTTCTAGCTAAATAAGCAAACATTATCTATCTATCTATCTATCGAGCGAGCGAGCGAGCGAGCGAGCGAGCGAGCGAGCGAGCGAGCGAGCGAGCGAGCGAGCGAGCGAGCGAGAGACGAGCGAGCGAGCGAGCGAGCGAGCGAGCGAGCGAGCGAGCGAGCGAGCGAGAGGCGAGAGAGGGACGAGCGAGCGAGCGAGCGAGCGAGCGAGCGAGCGAGCGAGCGAGCGAGCGAGCGAGCGAGCGAGCGAGCGAGCGAGCGAGCGAGAGCGAGCGAGCGAGCGAGCGAGCGAGCGAGCGAGCGAGCGAGCGAGCGAGCGAGCGAGCGAGAGAGCGAGCGAGCGACCGGCCGACCGACCGACCGAGCGAGCGACCGAGCGAGCGAGCAGCGAGCGAGCGAGCGAGCGAGCGAGCGAGCGAGCGAGGAGCGAGCGAGCGAGCGAGCGAGCGAGCGAGCGAGCGAGCGAGCGAGCGAGCGAGCGACCGAGCGAGCGAGCGAGCGAGCGAGCGAGCGAGCGAGCGAGCGAGCGAGCGAGCGAGCGAGCGAGCGAGCGAGCGAGCGAGCGAGCGAGCGAGCGAGCGAGCGAGCGAGCGAGGAGCGACAGGAGCGAGCGAGCGAGCGAGAGCGAGCGAGCGAGCGCGAGCGAGCGAGCGAGCAGCGAGCGAGCGAGCGAGCGAGCGAGCGAGCGAGCGAGCGAGGCGAGAGAGCGAGCGAGGAGCAGCGAGCGAGGAGCGAGGAGCGAGCGAGCGAGCGAGCGAGCGAGCGAGGAGCGAGCGAGCGCGAGCGAGCGAGCGAGCGAGCTATCATCTATCTATCGATCTATATCTATCTATCTATCTATCTATCTATCTAGCTAGCTATCTATCGCTATCTAGCTCTATCTAGCTAGTCGATATCTCGATCTATCGATCGAGCTACTATCTATCTATCTATCTATCTATCTACCTATATCTATATCTATCTATCGATCTATTATCTATCTATCTATCTATCTATCTATCTATCTATCTATCTATCTACTACTATCTATTATCTATCTTAGGAAGACACTTTCAAAACGCTTCTCTATTATAAAACTGTATTCTGAAAACTATCTTAAGAATAAATTTTCATATTAAAAAACTGTCTTTAGAAGACACTTTTATATTAGAAAACTTACTTTAGAAGACTCTTTTCTATGAGAACTATTAGAAAAGTGTGTTCAGAAGACTACTTTCTAATAGAAAATTGTATTTAGAAGACCCTTTGATATTTTTCTATCTTCTGAAGACATTTTGCTATACGAAAGGTATATAATTAATTTTAAAATTTCCTCATGAACATTACTAATTGTGAAGTCTAAATTATGTTTCAAATGAAAACATTTCCATTGAAATGATTAATTTAAAATACATTAATTAAAAATTAAACCTAAAGGTTTTGACACAAAACAGACTGGAATAGCTGGACAAACAAATAATGTTCACATTTTTTTTACATTCTTCACGTCTAACCCATATACATTTCATTGATTAAATTAAACGAGAACTTAAATAATTTATAAGCAATTGCTGATAATTTTGCTTAAAAAATACTAGAATAACAAGAAAATTATAATAATAATGAAAATATTACAGCTCGTGTAATGTAAACAAATGATTACAAGTTGAAATATTTACTTTATAAAAGGTAATTAATATCAGCAGATGTAAAAACTTATTACAAGTAAAAATTTATTTTTTTTTTGTAATATGACTCTCGTGTACATACCTTCTAGGACTGCAGCCAACAATTTGTATAACGCGCAAAGCTAAACGTTTATGTAAATTACAATATTCAATAGCTAAGGCGACCATAATGCCACCCATAAACATTACAAGTGTATCTTTGAAATATAATCTACACGTTTGATCGGAACTCTGTAACAAAACAACATGCATATAAATCAATTAACAACAATTAAGATATTTTGACAAATAAGTGTGATAAAATGCTAAATAGTAATAGAAAACATACCATTATACCCATTACAGGAAACGCTACAATTGGAATCATTGAGGTGACATAGAGGGGCAAGGCTTCAGTTACCCAAAATATAGCCATAACAATAAGCAGGTACATACAACGATATTCCTAAAAAGAATGAGAAATAATAAGAAATTGTATTCATTTCAATAAAACACTGTCTTTAGAAGACATTTTTCTATTAGAAAACTGTCTTTAGAAGACATTTTTCTATTAGAAAACTGTCTTTAGTAGAAACCTAAGAAGAAATTTTCTGAACTAGAACTGAACTAGAACAGAACTAGAGCAGAACTAGAACATAACTAAAGCCGAACTAGAACAGAACTAGAGCAGAACTAAAACAGAACTAGAACTGAACTAGAACAGAACTAGAACTGAACTAGAACTGAACTAGAACTGAATTAGAACTGAACTAGAACTGAACTAGAACTGAACTAGAACTGAACTAGAACTGAACTAGAACTGAACTAGAACTGAACTAGAACAGAACTGAACTAGAACTGAAGTAGAACTGAACTAGAACTGAATTAGAACTGAACTAGAACTGAACTAGAACTAAACTAGAACTGAACTAGAACTGAACTAGAACTGAACTAGAACTGAACTAGAACTGAACTAGAACAGAACTAGAACTGAACTAGAACTGAACTAAAACTGAACTAGAACTTAACTAGAACTGAACTAGAACTGAACTAGAACTGTACTAGAACTGAACTAGAACTGAACTACAACTGAACTAGAACTGAACTAGAACTAAACTAGAACTAAACTAGAACTGAACTCGAACTGAACCAGAACTAAACTAGAACTAAACTAGAACAGAACTGAACTAGAACTGAAGTAGAACTGAACTAGAACTGAATTAGAACTGAACTAGAACTGAACTAGAACTGAACTAGAACTGAACTAGAACTGAACTAGAACTGAACTAGAACTGAACTAGAACTGAACTAGAACTGAACTCGAACTGAACTCGAACTGAACTAGAACTGAACTAGAACTGAACTAGAACTGAACTATAACTGAACTAGAACTGAACTAGAACTGAACTAGAACAGAACTAGAACTGAACTAGAACTGAACTAGAACTGAACTAGAACTGAACTAGAACTGAACTAGAACTAGAACTGAACTAGAACTGAACTAGAACTGAACTAGAACTGAACTAGGACTAGAACTGAACTAGAACTGAACTAGAACTGAACTAGAACTGAACTAGAACTGAACTAGAACTGAACTAGAACTGAACTAGGACTAGAACTGAACTAGAACTGAACTAGAACTGAACTAGAACTGAATTAGAACTGAACTAGAACTGAACTAGAACTGAACTACTATAGAACTGAACTAGAACTGAACTAGACCTGAACTAGAACTGAACTAGAACTGAATTAGAACTGAACTGAAACGGTCTTTCTATAAACAAACTGTCTTCTGAATTAAATTTTCTATTAGAAAAAAACATTATTTTTTCTATAAGAAAATATTCTTTAGAAGATAATTTAATACATTTTTTCTACTTACAGGAGTATTATTCATTAACATCACAGGTAAACATAATAGAGGCACTAGAAATACGACTAAACCTTTCCAGTGGTTGGCAATAAATGTGGTTACTTTACTGCACCCCGATAATGGGGCTCTCTCACCCGCCTCACTGTTAAATTGAAAAAAAAGAAACATTATTAATAATTTAAACTTTTTTTTACAGAAATTTGAATAAATAAAACTTACATCTCCATTTTGAACTAAATTTGTAGTTAACTAAAAAGATAAGAAAAGGAAAATTACAAAAATTAGTAAAAAGTTTTGAACAACTTAAGTAATATTAATAAAAATAACAAAATGTGATTTTGTTATTATAAAATTTTATTAAAATGTTTTAAACTTTGACCTTGTTAAAATTTTACTTAAAATACATAAAATTATTAAACATGAGTTTAAAACTCATTTTTCAATTTTGCAAATTTATTATTTCATAAATTTTAGTTATCAGAAATGAAATAAAGTAATTAAAAACGCATTGAATTATAGGAAACTGTGTTTAACATTGAACTTGATTTATTGTTTTTTAAACAACAACAATAACAACACTTAAATAACTATATAAAGTATCTGACACGACTTTTAAACAAAATATTTATACATAATAAGTGTTATTAAGCTAAACCTTCCCCCCACAAAAAAATCGCTAAAATGAAACATTAGTAAGTGTCACATAAAAAAACAACAAACAAACAAACAAACGGGTTTCCAAGTACTTGTACTAAGTGCAAAATGTAAATAAACATAAATATTTAGCATAGCCCCCCCCCTCCTCTTCCCCCTTTGTCTATCTATCACTCTTACTATTCGTACTTAATATTTTTGTGTGTCAAATACTTTACACTACTAAACTCTGAGTCTGATTTAAGTGTCACGAGTATTTGTTTTCTGTTTGTACTACGTCAAACACAATAACAAAGTATTGACCCCCTTTTTCTGTCAATTAAAAATCTTTTGCCACGAGTTATTTTACTTTAATTGTTTGTTTTTTTTTTTTTTATAAAAATATTTTCAAGAAATTGATTTAAAATAACTTGTTTATTGTTTTGTTATGTGTAAAATGTCATAACTACAGAAAAATAAACTTTTTTTAATTGATTTTTATTGAATTTTTTTAAGCATCTGTTTGTCTTATTTGGTCACCAACTGTCAAACTGAGAAAATTGTTACTTTTTTTTTAAAAAAGTCTTGTTTTTTATTTTGTTATTAATTTGTTATTGAAATTAATAATAAACTATTTATTTTTAATTTTTTGTAGTAAATAAATGATGCAAAATACTTAAGTAAAAAGGACGTCCAAAGTGTCATTTAAAGACAGTTTTCTAATAGAAAACTGGCTTCTAAAATCAGTTTTCTAATAGAAAAGTGTCTCATAAACATAATTTTTCTAACAGAAAAGAGTCTTCTGAAGGAGTTTTCTGATAGAAAAATGTCTTGTAAATACATTTTTCTATACGAAAACTTTTTCGAAGAGTTTCCCAAACAGTTTTCGTATAGAAAAAATGTCTTTTAAAGACAGTTTTCTTATAGAAAAATGTCTTTTAAAGACAGGTTTTCGTATAGAAAAGTGTCTTCTAAGCAGTACTCGTACAGAAAAGTGTCTTCTAAGCAGTACTCGTATAGAAAAGTGTCTTCTAAAGACAGTTTTCGTACAGTGTCGTATAAGTGTCTTCTAAAGACAGGTTTTCATATAGAATAGTGTCTTCTAAAGACAGTTTTCGTATAAAAAAGTGTCCTCTAAAGAAAGTTTTCGTATAGAAAAGTGTTCTCTAAAGACAGCTTTCGTATAGAAAAGTGTCTTCTAAAGACAATTTTCGTATAGAAAGTGTCTTCTAAGACAGTGTTCGTATAGAAAATGTCTTCTAAAGACAGTTTCGTTTAAAAAATGTCTTCTAAAGACAGTTTTCGTATAGAAAAGTGTCTTCTAAAGACAGTTTTCGTATAGAAAAGTGTCTTCTAAGACAGTTTTCGTATAGAAAAGTGTCTTTAAAACACTTTTCTATAGAAAACTGTATTTAGAAGACACTTTTCTATACGAAAACTGTCTTTAGAAGACACTTTTCTATACGAAAACTGTCTTTAGAAGACACTTTTCTATACGAAAACTGTCTTTAGAAGACATTTTTTAAACGAAAACTGTCTTTAGAAGACATTTTCTATACGAAAACTGTCTTTAGAAGACACTTTTCTATACGAAAATTGTTTAGAAGACACTTTTCTATACGAAAGCTGTCTTTAGAGAACACTTTTCTATACGAAAACTTTCTTTAGAGGACACTTTTTTATACGAAAACTGTCTTTAGAAGACACTATTCTATATGAAAACTGTCTTTAGAAGACACTTATACGACACTGTACGAAAACTGTCTTTAGAAGACACTTTTCTATACGAGTACTGCTTAGAAGACACTTTTCTGTACGAGTACTGCTTAGAAGACACTTTTCTATACGAAAACTGTCTTTAAAAGACATTTTTCTATAAGAAAACTGTCTTTAAAAGACATTTTTTCTATACGAAAACTGTTTGGAAACTCTTCGAAAAAGTTTTCGTATAGAAAAATGTATTTACAAGACATTTTTCTATCAGAAAACTCCTTCAGAAGACTTTTCTGTTAGAAAATTATGTTTATGAGACACTTTTCTATTAGAAAACTGATTTTAGAAGCCAGTTTTCTATTAGAAAACTGTCTTTAAATGACACTTTGGACGTCCTTTTTTTAAGTATTTTGCATCATTTATTTACTACAAAAAATTAAAAATAAATAGTTTATTATTAAATTTCAATAACAAATTAATAAACAAAATAAAAAACAAGACTTTTTTAAAAAAAAAGTAACAATTTTCTCAGTTGACAGTTGGTGACCAAATAAGACAAACAGATGCTTAAAAAAAATTCAATAAAAATCAATTAAAAAAAGTTTATTTTTCTGTAGTTATGACATTTTACACATAACAAAACAATAAACAAGTTATTTTAAATCAATTTCTTGAAATATTTTTATAAAAAAAAAAAAAACAAACAATTAAAGTAAAATAACTCGTGGCAAAAGATTTTTAATTGACAGAAAAAGGGGGTCAATACTTTGTTATTGTGTTTGACGTAGTACAAACAGAAAACAAATACTCGTGACACTTAAATCAGACTCAGAGTTTAGTAGTGTAAAGTATTTGACACACAAAAATATTAAGTACGAATAGTAAGAGTGATAGATAGACAAAGGGGGAAGAGGAGGGGGGGGCTATGCTAAATATTTATGTTTATTTACATTTGCACTTAGTACAAGTACTTGGAAACCCGTTTGTTTGTTTGTTGTGTTTTTTTATGTGACACTTACTAATGTTTCATTTTAGCGATTTTTTTGTGGGGGGAAGGTTTTAGCTTAATAACACTTATTATGTATAAATATTTTTGTTTAAAAGTCGTGTCAGATACTTTATATAGTTATTTAAGTGTTGTTATTGTTGTTGTTTAAAAAACAATAAATCAAGTTCAATGTTAAACACAGTTTTCCTATAATTCAATGCGTTTTTAATTACTTTATTTCATTTCTGATAACTAAAATTTATGAAATAATAAATTTGCAAAATTGAAAAATGAGTTTTAAACTCATTTAATAATTTTATGTATTTTAAGTAAAATTTTAACAAGGTCAAAGTTTAAAACATTTTAATAAAATTTTATAATAACAAAATCACATTTTGTTATTTTTATTAATATTACTTAAGTTGTTCAAAACTTTTTACTAATTTTTGTAATTTTCCTTTTCTTATCTTTTTAGTTAACTACAAATTTAGTTCAAAATGGAGATGTAAGTTTTATTTATTCAAATTTCTGTAAAAAAAAGTTTAAATTATTAATAAATGTTTCTTTTTTTTCAATTTAACAGTGAGGCGGGTGAGAGAGCCCCATTATCGGGGTGCAGTAAAGTAACCACATTTATTGCCAACCACTGGAAAGGTTTAGTCGTATTTCTAGTGCCTCTATTATGTTTACCTGTGATGTTAATGAATAATACTCCTGTAAGTAGAAAAAATGTATTAAATTATCTTCTAAAGAATATTTTCTTATAGAAAAAATAATGTTTTTTTCTAATAGAAAATTTAATTCAGAAGACAGTTTGTTTTATAGAAAGACCGTTTCAGTTCAGTTCTAATTCAGTTCTAGTTCAGTTCTAGTTCAGGTCTAGTTCAGTTCTAGTTCAGTTCTATAGTAGTTCAGTTCTAGTTCAGTTCTAGTTCAGTTCTAATTCAGTTCTAGTTCAGTTCTAGTTCAGTTCTAGTTCAGTTCTAGTCCTAGTTCAGTTCTAGTTCAGTTCTAGTTCAGTTCTAGTTCAGTTCTAGTTCAGTTCTAGTTCAGTTCTAGTTCAGTTCTAGTCCTAGTTCAGTTCTAGTTCAGTTCTAGTTCAGTTCTAGTTCAGTTCTAGTTCTAGTTCAGTTCTAGTTCAGTTCTAGTTCAGTTCTAGTTCAGTTCTAGTTCAGTTCTAGTTCTGTTCTAGTTCAGTTCTAGTTCAGTTCTAGTTCAGTTATAGTTCAGTTCTAGTTCAGTTCTAGTTCAGTTCTAGTTCAGTTCGAGTTCAGTTCGAGTTCAGTTCTAGTTCAGTTCTAGTTCAGTTCTAGTTCAGTTCTAGTTCAGTTCTAGTTCAGTTCTAGTTCAGTTCTAGTTCAGTTCTAGTTCAGTTCTAATTCAGTTCTAGTTCAGTTCTACTTCAGTTCTAGTTCAGTTCTGTTCTAGTTTAGTTCTAGTTTAGTTCTGGTTCAGTTCGAGTTCAGTTCAGTTTAGTTCTAGTTTAGTTCTAGTTCAGTTCTAGTTCAGTTGTAGTTCAGTTCTAGTTCAGTTCTAGTACAGTTCTAGTTCAGTTCTAGTTCAGTTCTAGTTAAGTTCTAGTTCAGTTTTAGTTCAGTTCTAGTTCAGTTCTAGTTCTGTTCTAGTTCAGTTCTAGTTCAGTTCTAGTTCAGTTCTAGTTCAGTTCTAGTTCAGTTCTAGTTTAGTTCTAGTTCAGTTCTAGTTCAGTTCTAATTCAGTTCTAGTTCAGTTCTACTTCAGTTCTAGTTCAGTTCTGTTCTAGTTCAGTTCTAGTTCAGTTCTAGTTCAGTTCTAGTTCAGTTCTAGTTCAGTTCTAGTTCAGTTCTAGTTCAGTTCTAATTCAGTTCTAGTTCAGTTCTAGTTCAGTTCTAGTTCTGTTCTAGTTCAGTTCTAGTTCTGTTTAGTTCTGCTCTAGTTCTGTTCTAGTTCGGCTTTAGTTATGTTCTAGTTCTGCTCTAGTTCTGTTCTAGTTCAGTTCTAGTTCAGAAAAATTTCTTCTTAGGTTTCTACTAAAGACAGTTTTCTAATAGAAAAATGTCTTCTAAAGACAGTTTTCTAATAGAAAAATGTCTTCTAAAGACAGTGTTTTATTGAAATGAATACAATTTCTTATTATTTCTCATTCTTTTTAGGAATATCGTTGTATGTACCTGCTTATTGTTATGGCTATATTTTGGGTAACTGAAGCCTTGCCCCTCTATGTCACCTCAATGATTCCAATTGTAGCGTTTCCTGTAATGGGTATAATGGTATGTTTTCTATTACTATTTAGCATTTATCACACTTATTTGTCAAAATATCTTAATTGTTGTTAATTGATTTATATGCATGTTGTTTTGTTACAGAGTTCCGATCAAACGTGTAGATTATATTTCAAAGATACACTTGTAATGTTTATGGGTGGCATTATGGTCGCCTTAGCTATTGAATATTGTAATTTACATAAACGTTTAGCTTTGCGCGTTATACAAATTGTTGGCTGCAGTCCTAGAAGGTATGTACACGAGAGTCATATTACAAAAAAAAAAATAAATTTTTACTTGTAATAAGTTTTACATCTGCTGATATTAATTACCTTTTATAAAGTAAATATTTCAACTTGTAATCATTTGTTTACATTACACGAGCTGTAATATTTCATTATTATTATAATTTTCTTGTTATTCTAGTATTTTTTTAAGCAAAATTATCAGCAATTGCTTATAAATTATTTAAG